GTATTTACTTTAGCCATGTTTTGAAAAAAGAGATCAGTGTTTTATTCTTTTTATAATATTTTTAAAAATAAATTTATATATATATAAATTCCACTTGTAAGTTTCTTATTTAAATATTCTAGTTTTTATATTTATTTGTTTATTTATATCTATTAATGATTCTGATTAATATTAGTAAAAATATATCATAGTTATTAAGTTTTAAAGCAGTTTATTTATATAGAAAACTTTTGACTTTGTGCTAAATTTTTTAAAAGCTTTTGTAGTCTATTTTTATATCTAATCTAGTAACACTATAATTTAAACCAATATTAGTAGTCCAAACATATTATTAAACTGCTATGCTTATATAGAATTTATTCTAACTTTAGTACTTGTTTTACAACATATTTCTACTACTTTGATATTCAATTTATGTTTTACCAAGCTTTTAGTTCAGATAGCCTAAAAAAGTAAATATAACCATATCTCTCATTTATATATTCTATAGCATATAACCTTTTTCTTTGTTATCTTTTTCAAAGTTCTAATAGTTTGGCTAGTTATAATGACTTCTTTCTAAAAACCAACTTGTTTTTACATAGTTTTATAAGTTCTAGCTTTGTTTTATTGGTTTAGTTTTTATAATAATACTGTCAAAAGTTCAGGCTACCTTTTTACTTAGATTTTTTAAATAGATTCTGTCTTTTTGATTCTTGTAATCTAATGGCTACAAGAACTTATCATGAGTTTACACTGCTTAGTACTAGTTTGTATTATTTTGTATAAGGTATAACTATTTTATAAAAGCCATATGACCTTTTAGTTATAATACAAATAACAGGTATCTTATTACAACTGATAGTAAAAACACTTAATAATAATACAGAAAGAATTTTAAATTTTTATTAACATTGGAATTTGAACTCTAGATCTGTTATTTGAGAGTTAACAATATGATTATTTTATTATATCATTATGTTTTCTAAGTTAATTAATTTTTAAAAAACTTTTATATAATAAAAGTTTAAAGTTTTTGTTTTAAAACTTTTATTATAAAATTTTATATATTTCTGTTTATATAAAAAAATTTACTTTTAATACAAATCTTATTTTTATAAGCAAATTATAAAATTATAAAAATTAAAATTGGATATGATAACTTAGTAAAGTAAATAAGTTGTTAACCTTCCAAGTAATAGATTGTAAATTCAAAACTTACTAATAATAAAAATTTAAATAATTATCTATATAATATATAGACAATATTATAGCAATAGTATTTTATTGATTAGTTGAAATAAGATAGTTGTAACTATAGTCATACCAACATGACTGACAAGTTATAAAATATCTATGTATTTTTAATTATATAGAGAAATGCAAACTAATACTAAGCAATACAAACTAAAGGTTTGCATTAGATCTTACAGCCTAGTCTGCAAATTTTTGCAGGCAGAGCCAGACCTAAAGCAAATTTTATAATTGCAGGCCAGTCCAGGCCAAAAAATTTGCAAAACTTTATAATTGCAGGCCAGTATGGGCCTAAAAATTTGTAAAATTATATAAAAAATTTTTGCAGGCTAGGCCAGGCTGAATAAAAAATTTAACATATATGGATCGGGCCAGGTTAGCAAAAAAATGATAACTCTAAATGTAGGCTAGGCCAAGCCTAAAAAAAATTTTTAACCCTAATTGTAAGCTGGGTCAGGCCTCAAAAATAAACAATTTGCAGGCCTCTAGTGCAAACCCAAGATGAGTTCTTGTAGTTATATAAATCTGTAGAACTAGGAAAATTCAAAGTCTATTTAAAAAATCTAAATAAAAAGATAACATATAACTTTAACAGTATTATTATAAAAGCTAGACTGAGAAAATAAATATTAATAGAAAAGAATCAAATAGGCAATAATTTCTAGATAAAAGATATTATAAACTAGACTACTAGGTTAAACTAAAAAAAAAGATATCAAACTAGACTTAATATATTAAAAACAGATTATAGTTCTTCTAAGCTATTTGGATTAGAAATCTAAGTACAAAGCAAAAATATACTAAAGTACTAGAAATATACTATAAAGTAGATACTGAGGTACAGATAAACTCTACAAGAACAAGTCTTTATTAATAATATATAAAATAAATAAATAGCTAACAAAAAGGATTCTTTAAGTTTTACTAACAGATATAATATTTTAAAATATATAACAGTCTAAAAACTAGTTTAAAAAGAAAAAGTACATACTGCTAAGATAATATATTAGTTAAGTATATACAGAAAATATAGTAATAGTTAGATAATTAACAGAATGAATAATTAAAAAGTTTAAATAAACAGTCTTCTAATAAATTATAAATATAACATCTAATATAAAACTCTAAAGTAAACTATTTAAATGGGTAATCAAAAGTTATATATATAAATAGCTATACTTTTATCTTTATAAAAATAGTTATAATACTAACCTTAACATATTAATAAAATAACTATCATAAAGTATAATCTTTAACAATTATAAATAATAATAAAAAATAAAAAAAATAAAGTTATAATCTTTTTTATAAATTATAATATTTTATTAAGAACTATAAATCTAAAACTAATATTTATAAAGTTTGTTAAAAATTAGTAAATAATTTTTTTATATTAATTTTTTTAAATTTGTTTATTTTTAGCTTATAAGCAACTTAGTAAAAATATAAAAATATATTATTAAAAATACAGACAAGTTACAAAACAAAAATATGTACAAAATTATTATTTTAAGACTTTAAATATTACAAAATATTATACTATAGAAGAGGCAAAATAATTTGATAAGGCTAAAACATAAGTGCAAGTTTTATAAAAATAAAAAATATTTTATTTTTTATTTTAATAAAACTGTAATATATATTTTTTTTATATAACAATAAAAAAACAATATTTATATAAAAAAGATGTCTTATAAAAAATATATATATTTAAGCTTAGAATTAAACATTTATTTATTAAATTCAATAGTTTGAAATTTGTTATTAATATTAAATCTTGCAAAGTCTTCTATAGTATAAACAATCAACTTGAATTAATAAATCTACTTTAACAAAACTACTATTATTCTTAATTGATATTATTATAATATTGTTTTAATTGAGCAACTTGGAATTTAAGTTTTACAAAATATAATTAATGCATAATTATTTTGCTAAAGCAGAAGTGTTGTTTTTGCAAGAAATGTAAGCTAAAGCAAATACAAAATTAGAGCAACTCTAAAATTTAATTTTATCTTTAACAATATATATAACTATAATAATTATTAACAAATAAATATTTAATACAAATATTAACTAAATAAGTATAACTTTTAAAAATACTATTAAAACTAAAAAGTTGTATCTATAAATTTTATTATATATTTACTATATACAAAAAATAAAATAATTTAATAATAGTAGTAGTTAAGAAATTAACTAAAAAATTATAGTTTATATTTACTAAAAATACTATTAACCTTTAAACTGTTAATTTAACTACATTTAAACTACAATTTAGTATAATTTAATAGCCTAATTACAGAACAATTATAAAATTTTAAAACAAATTTGCCTAAAAAACAGTTTAAAAAAATAGCAATAAAAGTAGTTCAAAAAAATTTTTAAATATTACAAATTATTTTGTTTTATAATTTTTAATAAAACTTTAAAATTTATTAGTAAATTTTGAAAGAAATTTTTAAATATAATAAAAATCAAATTAAAAATATTAATTGCAACATATTTACAAACTAATGGTTAGATAAAATGTTCTAATTGAATTTTTAAAAAAGCTTTTCTATATATCTATATAAATTATAAACAAGGTAATTAAAAAGAGATATTAATAACTACAAAATTTTTGTATAATAATTTATTATAAAGCTCTATAAGTTTTATAATAAATTTTAGTTAAAAATAGGTTTTTGAGAGTTCTAAACATGAGAGGAAGTCAATAGAAAAGGAACAAATTTTTTCTAAGTAAAAGTTTTCTTGACTTTAAGCTTAAATATCGTAACAACTATTTTATTAAATTTGATAAATTTTTTTTATTTTAGTTCTATATAATTTCAAAATTAAAATAAAAATATTTTTAGCAAATTTGATTAAATAGTTGTTGAGTTATTTAAAGTTAAAAATTAAAAAAATTTTACTAAAAATGATTTGTCCCTTTTCTATTAACTCACCCCCACATATTTACTTAATATATGAGTGTCGTTAAAAGAAAATCAGCACATCTAAAAATAAAATTATTATATAAAATATAATAAATCTATCTTTAGATGTGCTGGTTTTCTTTTAGCAACACCCATATCTGACTTCTGTTTCATAGTTCCATTTTTGAAATATTGCATCCCGATGATCACTGGTTATGATTTGTAAAATTCTTTAAATATAGGCCAAGATTATCATGCTATAATTATTTATTCTATAACTACATATATTATAGTTAAAAAATAATAACAATTTTTTTAAAAGAATAAATATAGGAAATTGCTATTTATACCCCATTTTTGATATTCATACTTCTATGAAAAATAATTTAACCAAATTAATACCGTGATACAAGGCAGCGCATCAATAATATTATAACTCAAACCATTAAACTAACTTATATTACAATAAAAATTAGGTATTTACATAGAAGAGGGTACGAATAGCAAAATTTGGGTATGAATAGCAGTGTCCATTCTCCTAAAGCTAGTAGATTTTATTTTTTAGTAACTACTAGGGAGGTGTATAAATAGCAAAAGTGGGGTACAATAGTACGTATTACCCTAAATATAATAACAAACATATTAATTTACTTAAAAAATGATTACACTGTATTATTAGAATATATTATACTTAGACCAGATTAATATAAAGCTTAAAAATTTACAGTTCTTTATGTCTAGAGTTCATTATTAAGGCGATTAATTATAGAGGGAGTTTATCTCATCTCATGTTAGGCACTAATTTAATAGTGTAAATCTTAAGTATGCATATTCTCTCCATACTAAGAATTAGAAAGCTTTATGATTTGTATCTGAGTAAATTCGATTTATATCCGGACGAATTTGACGATTTATATCAGAGTAAATCTGAGGATTTGTATCCGAGCAAGCTTGATTATTTGTATCTATGAGTGGGTTAGACATTTTTGTTTCGTGTCTTCTTCGATACAATATGATGCCAATAGCTATTAATGCGCTAACAAAAATAATGGAGCCTATTACACCACCCACTATTGCACCTACATTGGACAAAGATGGTTGAGATGTGGCTGTAGATGTAGGCGTATTTGCTTTCTGAGTGGGGTTATTCGGGCTACTCGGATTAATGAAGTTCATTAATTTTGCATCGACCGTATCCTTAGTTATATCAAAAATTGCAATTCCTAGTGCATTACCCTGCAC